ACTTGAACAGCGCAGTAGTCGCTGGGTGGGCCCAAAAGAGATGAGTGACTTCGTTTGTCTCGGGGTTAAGGCGAAACTTGTAGAAGAACTTGTGCTTAACGAGTTCCTGAAACAGGGCCTCAGTTGCCGTTCTAGATGCCAAGTCGTGTCGACGGCTTGCATCCTTGGCGTTAGAAATGTCCTTGACAACGATGAAAGAACGTGTGGGCCTGCGCTTAGAACTGTTGCATGAATCGTCGAAGGCGTGGCCCTGGCTGCTGTCTGAAGCTCAACCAAATCCAGAGTGTGTGAGGCCAGTGGTTGTGATGTTGCTTGGATGGCCCGACGCCTATGCTGCGCATGTACGCGAACATCCCGCGAAGGTTGATGGTTATGATGCGTGCTTCGAGCAGTATGAACAATCTTCCACTGGCCGGCAGTGTCATCTTTGTCTACAGCCCTAATCCCTATCCGCATCGGGCAAGCCGAGCGCTTCGATCCCCGTAGCGTACGCTTCCGATCATGCTCGGTCAGGTGTTGAGTGTTCTTAGGGGCCCCTGCACGGTCACACTCGTAGTTACGAGCCCAAATTTCGCGTTCGGGGCCACCCTTGTACCGAACACGTCGGCGAGAGACGTTGAAGCCGTGATCTAGCGTCCACTGGTGCAGCGCGGCTTCAGCGGCATCGTGAGAGCTGTAAGTGGTCTCTGGGGGCGGCTGAATAGCGTGAAGGGGGAGGTTGTTGCCGCTCATGGCTAATCAAATTGTATTTGGTGACCTTTCGTTACAATCTTCGTCTACAGCTTACAGCCATTCGTCTACACGAAAGTACCGGTTTATACCGGTAGGTACATCACAATCACACATGGACCTTTTGTGCGAGGGCCCTCCGAATGAGGGCCCTCGTTAGATTCTCCCTATTAATAGGTAGCAGCGGGGAGTCTGCCTTTCCCGCATTGCCCTAAGCTTTAACGCAGAAAATGATGGCAAGTCCAATGAAACAATACATTTGATTACGGCATGGGTATCAAGAAAACACATCTATTTCTAATACCGGTATCAAGCGGAGGTACAGTCTAAAAGCATCTCCAAATGTTTAAGCAATGCCTTTTTAAACGGCACTTAGGATGTTTAAACCGTTATAGGAGAAAGCTCAGATTGACTTGGAGTATTGTGCCTTTCCAAAGTTTTGGCCAATCTGGCCTTTAAAGGCTGGTCCTAAGCAAGGGTGGGTAGGGCTAAGGGTGGGATTTGAGGACGAACTGAAGTTGAATTGCTAAGCCAGGCCACTAAATAAAATGATATTTGACCAATAACACTGTTTGATTTCGCCGACTCTGATCCAATAATAATTGATTGTGGAGGTCCTACGTAAGGGCTCCGATTTGGTCTAAAGGGTACCTTTTAACAAATTAAGGGCTGAATGGCCAGTATTTACCGGCCATTTACCCTTACGTAAGGTATTCACAACAGATTGATTTTAAATCCAATATGGGCTACTCGTCAGACATACGCTGGCGAGGCATTGTCTTGCAGTATGTCTACAATATTGAGATCAGCGTAGTTGCTGGTGTATTGGGCGTCTCGGCCAGAAGCCTTCGGAGATGGTACCATCTCTTCAAGACAACAGGAAATGTCGACGACACCCCAAAGAATGAGCGGTCATCTAAATGGCCGATTGAAGTGCAACAATTTGTTCGCGAGTATGTAAAGCAACACCCTTGCTTCTACTTCCAAGAGCTGCGTGAGGTATTAAAAGAGAAGTTTTCGACCCAATATTGCTGTTCCGATTCGACAATTTGTCGTGCTTTACGGTTCGATTTGGGGTTTACGCGCAAAGTGCTGACTAAAAGAGCTCGTGAAAGTATCCCAAAGAGCGCCAAGAGTATGTGAACAGGCTATTGCCTTTCTACAGCGGGCCAGATCAAGTCGTGTTTGTCGATGAAACTTCAAAGGATGGAAGGTAATGTACAATATCAATTTTGTGACTGCTACATCTTACCTGCTAATTTGTTGTATGACATTGCTATGGTTTAGGTCCTCCCTGAGAAAACCCGCGTGGTCCGCGCGAGGAGACCCAGCGATTGTGTCCATTCCATTTTCCCGCGGAAAGCGAATCTCAGTTCTTGCTGCGTTCGACGTGGAAGGATTTTTTGCGTGGGGTACAACCGAGGATACTTTCACCCGGCAGACGTTCCACGAGACTTTCAAGTTGAAAATTCTACCATTCCTCAATCCGTGGCCTTTACCAAGATCAATTGTCATTTTGGATAACGCCAAAATTCACATGTACGAAGAATTTCAAGAACTTATTCACGGTACTGGTGCACTGTTATTTTTTCTGCCGCCGTATTCACCTGACTTGAATCCTATAGAAGTCGGTTTTTCTCTCCTAAAACGATGGATCCAACGCCACGCAAATATGGCATTCCGTGAAAATCCTCTTGCGGTCCTCAATGTCGCGCTGTACTTTTGCACTAGACAGTCTGAGGAAGTTGGGCAAAATTTGTACGGTCATTGTGGGTACGATGGGAACAAACTTAGTATAAAAATCAGTGAGTTTTAATGAAATTCATGTATTTGTACTGAAAACATCGTACTCTACCTCTGCTATGCTCCTTAGAGCTGATCGTTAAGGTGATCGATATCATCCATGTCTTCTGCGGGAGCGGGAGTCTCAAAATCTACCGGGTCACGGAATGGAGGGCGAAGGCTGTAGGCCGGTAAACCGAGAATTTCCTGGAGATCTCCAACATGAACTTGCACTTGGATCACTGCACCTTGAATTTTGATCCTGAGCATTCTGAAATTCATGTCAGCGGTTGCTTGAGTTGTATCTTGATTCGTCTCCATTTCCTGCGAAAGCTGATCAATGTTCCGAAGTTGTCGAAATGTTGTGTTATCAGGAATTTGTAGTGGAGCGTCAGCTGAAAGTCGAGCTTGCGTTGTTGCCATGTACAGCTGTGAGGCTGGCCCACTCGAAATATTGCGCTCAGCTAGCATAGCTGCTACACGGGGAACTTGCTCTTGGAATCGATTCTCGGTTGCTCTACGAATAGTGTTGGCTCTTGGTTCTAGTGGTCTTGGAACATAAACAAAAATCAATAAAACAAAATCAGACTGACCGTGTAGACGAAGGCGAGCTAATTCCCAAGATCTGGCGACGCGACTGGAGAAATTTTCCTCGTCCAACTCGAGAAATTCACGTTGTGGGGCGTGCTTGGTGGGCTTGAGATAGACGCTGAAGTCATCCTGCCAATCGTTTGGCAGACGACGAATGAATTCGGTTGCTACTTGAGCCTTGAATAGCCTAAAGCCACGGTCAATCTGAAAGGAGAAGTTGATGGGCTCGGTCTTGTTTCGGCACGAAGTGAGAGGATCGCCGTTCTTGATGGTAAGGCGGCAAGTGAGAATAGCTGGTAGTGGAATCGACATTGTAAAACTAAAAGTGAGCCTTTAAGCCAAAGGATGCCAGGGCGTGGGAGAATACCCACGGTAGAGCTCGACAAAATTTAGGAGATCATGTCAAAACGGGATGGAATTTTGCCAAATGTCATAAGATGTGGACACAATCTGTTTCGGTTTTGTTAATCTATCTTAAAATTTGTATTAAAACCATGATCTGTATATTTTCAATAAAGTAGGGATTTAGCCAATCGAGAACGTTTATGCCCAGGGAATTATCCCATCTGCCATCCGCCGAACGCCGATTGGACAGAACCTCCAGGTGGTGCAATTATTCCCGAAAATCCTATCCCGACTGATCCATATGAGACTCATCCCCGAAGGGATGTGGCGTGTCGACCCAAACACTTGGTTATGTCTCCGATCCGACGTAGGACTTGCACACGACACTTACCTCAAGCATCGAGCTCCCTACAGACATGGGAATTGAACCCACGCCACCTGTTAGCTGACGGGCTAATCAGGCGCATGCAAACCAGTTGCCCAGAATGCATACTAATATGTTAATAAAATTATGTCAAATCTGGTCAAATATGTCTTTGATTGGCATCGTCTTTTTTTTCGTCAAAGGGTTAGGCTAAATTTTAGTCGGAAGCACCCGATCAGATAGGAGATCTTCCGTGGTCTAAGTAGAAAAAACCGAAACTCGTTCTGAAAATTCTGCCTTTTGATTGGCTGAGAGCAGAGCGACTCTCGGTACGCGTTCCGAGTTTATACCGTTCTGTGTGAGGTTCTCAGAACACCTTGTGGAGGTGTTCTGAAGTCGGAACGAGTTTGCTGTCTCTGCCACAGTAATATTTCTCTGCCACAGTAATATTTCGCTCCAAGTGCCCACTCTGTGTGCTGCTTTCTTGGTTCACACATTATCAGGCAGTAAGTCAGCTTGTCAAAATGGATGGCAATATCGGAAGCCGAACAATTCCATCGTGGAGCGTGGGTTGGTCGGTGTGAGCAGGTCTTAAGTCGTGTGAGTCCATTGAGCTGGAGGAGAGTGGAGCGGAAATGAGATAGTGTTCTGCTTTCATACACTGCATTGGATTTCACGTACTTGTACACCGGCTTCAAACACTGAGAACTCGTCCTGACCTGACACTTGTCTCGGAGCCAAATCCAGAATACACGTACTCTGACCTGAAAGTCGTTCTGATCCAACCCAATCCCTTCTGCTATTCTCGGAACAAGTTTACTTAGACCAGGGCCTTAAGGGCCATCTTCCTACGTAGGACCATAAAACTGAGGGCGTTTTGGCAGAAAGGCACAATAAGTGCGTCAAACTCAACCGTGCTTCTACCGAATTCGAACCTGATACACTGTGCCGCTCGAACAATTTATGACAGTGTCGCGCCTTTACACGAAGGAGCTCTAATATTTGAGCTGGTAATTCAGATAATTTCTGCTCATATCCCAAACCAACGTTTTCAACTCAAATCGGAAATTAATTTACTTCAGCACTTGAGCTATACAACAGACCAAAAGGCTTAAATTCGCCAAGATAAATGTGTCTCGAACACCACGCAAAGGTTTACATTACTTAAGTTCGACGGACTTCAGTTAAAGTGTTCAAGTGCTACCGTTCATTTTAAGGCATGACAAAATTCACTTCTTATGGTTTTGAAAACGTCGGAGTGGGCTGCTGCACTTCCAGCAGGTTATCGACTACTGTACCGATGCAGCGAGCTGGATCTTTCTAGAGAAACGTCGACGTGGCGTGCTGCACCTCGAGCAAGTTGTGCATAGCCACCTCGGGCGTCGTACCGATACAGCGTGCAAGCTCCTTCTGCGCCACATAGTCCAGTTGCAGGAACCGGAACAGCACGAAGGCGTCCAGGAAGCTCTTCTTCCACTTCTTCTTGCTCCAAGCGTCCGGTCTGCCACATCGTCGCTGCGCGTTGGTCTTGAGTATGCGGAATTCCCGTGGGTTCAGCGCACAGTTCTGAGGCAACGTGTTCACCATAACGTTCTGCAACGTGAAGAGACGACGGAAGACGCGCTCGCCGACAGGAACCAGAGCGCCGACGCCTCCCTCCGACGTGCCCATGACGTTCACGTAGTTGGACAGAGGCGCTGCATTGCGTCCGTTTGTAGCCGACACCACCGATCCAGACGCATCCACCCGCTTCCGGAACATACTCGAGACTTGGACACCCAAGTGGAAGTCGCTCACGCGCAGCAGACGCTGGCCACCGCGAGACTCGATATCCTGCGGGGCGAACTGCATCACGTGCAGGTTCTCGTCCATATCCACCGCTAGCAGCGCCAGTTTCTTCTCAAACACACTGAACTCTGTCGCAGATACCGCCAGAGGTTCATAGTCCTTGGCTAGCAGCACCAACTGCCTCTGCATCTCCCTCCAACGCAAGAAATGCACGCTCTTGTAGACGTCTCCGTACATGACAAAGTCCTTGACCACACTGAGTGTCACGATGTACATCTGCGCGTCGTAGAACGCACAGCCGATCAACTGCTCCGACTTGAACTCGTACACGATGAGCTTGGAGCCCACGGCGGCCAACACGTACGGGCCGAGCTGCGAGACCATGGAGATGGCTCCCTGTCTGTGCTCCTTGATGAATACCAGTCGCAGCTTGGGCAGCTTCCCACTTGTCGCGCCGCCTTCCTCGTTTACGTACTGCGCGTAGTCAAGTTCGTACAGCAGCAGGCGACCACGACCGCTTTCATCCTCGCCATGGGGACCCACCCAGCCCGTGCCAACCACCAAGTACGGACGCTTCTTCTTGTTCCACTCCGGAGACGTCGACGCCACTTCCTCCTTCATCAGAGACGAGTCGTACAGATACATGAGCTTCACACTGAGCACCACCTCGTAGCGCTCAAAGTGGACACGAAACACTCCACGACGTCCCCACTCGCCGAACTCGTCCGTCTGTACCAAGCGCAACTCGTACACGTCTTCTTCAGTGTGCGCCATGTGGTCGGTCTCGTAGTCCGCGAACATTTCGGCGGTCGGCGCCATCACGTTACTGCCGAGAGGGTTCCCGTTCGGGTCCAAGTTCTCCGGTTCCAGCTCCTCCTCTGCGCCTTCCACTTCCGTGGCTCGATCTGCGTCGGCTGGCTTCAGTCTGGCGCTGCAAACGACAGCATACGTCGGCGCTTCAAGCGCTTCTGCCACACCTCCGGGACCGTGGCTGCCCAAGTACAGCATGTGGTGTAGCGTAGCTCCAAACTCCGCCTTTTGGAGCACAAACCCGCCGCTGGAAGGCAGGATCGTCGACGTTTTACTGGACGGAAGCTCGCACACTCGCAGCGCACCGCGGGAGTGGAAGTAGATGAAGCCATTCGGACAGCTCCAATGGTGGAACGGCGTGAAACTCAGCACTGGCACACTCACTCGAGGCGCGGCATTCTTGGACGTGCCATTCGCCTTAGGCGGAGCGGAGCTAGGGACGCACATGGGGACGAAGGACGCGTGGCCACGGTCTCCCAGAATCCACATCGGGTGAGCTCCTCGGAAGAACGCGCCGCTCATATTGTTGACGTTGTAGAAGCACGTCAGCATGGGATACCGGAAGCCGGCGCGAAGTTTCGCTAGCACTGCGCTGGTGTTGACTTCCGGGTTATTGCCAGCTTCATTGTGCGCATTCGTACGCGCCTTGGGGGGCAGGAATGGCCGCGTGATCAGCTCAGTCCCCACGCGTACGAAATGGAAGACGGGGGCGATTTCTCCGTTGGCTCGAGGCTTTAAACTCTCGAACTTTGGTGCAGCCGAGTACATGAGCAAGTCGCCATTGGCAAGAAACACCAGCATCACCATGCGAGAGAGATACTGCGCGTTGTGCTGCCCTTCACTAGGCCCCACACGATGAATGACGATGTCTGCTACTGGCGAGTTGATCGTGTGCGACTTCTTGATGCGACCGTCGTTTGCTGACGACGTCGACGCATTGAGCCCAAGAGCGGGGGCTGACAACTTGACTGTCTTGTTCCTGCCCACTTGGTAGTGTTCCAGTGTGTTCACCAAAGACTGCGGGGCAAACGTGAGGTAGGGGAACACGCCTCGCTTCTTAAAGTCAGGGAGAGAAAACACATGCAGAGAGCCATCTCCAAAGCACATGCTACACATCATCTTGGCGTCTTTTTGCTGCAATAACGGGATCGACACAGACCCGTCCTCATTCCTCGGTGTAGCTGTGCTTGGCATCGACTTGGTAGCGTTCATCGTGGCCACCTTGGGGCTCGGTTTGCTGCTGTACAACGCGTCCATATCATCGTCGTCCTCTGCGCGTTTTGCTCTGCTCTATGTAGCCTCGTGACCTCCCCCTCTTCTTCTACCCACGCGTTCTCAACGAACATACCAGCCCAATCGTAGAAGAGACACGCAGAACTGCTGCCGTGCTTGGACATATCGGCACTTCCATTGGCCTCAGAAATGCCTTCCGCGTAGTCGATTTCCGGGTCAATCACCGACAGCTCCAAGTCTTCTTCGTCTCCCATCAGCAGACGAACGGAGACGTCAGTCAACAGTAGAAGAATATACGGATCCACCACATCCACCGACACGATTCCGACGCTAGAAGTGTCCACGTTCATGCCTCCACACTCGACGTCGCCCTCCAACGTGATCTCTTGTGTACACACCAACTTGACTCTGGGTCCGTCATCCTCGTCGTCTTCCTCTTCGTCCTCTGCACCTTCTGCCTTTCCAGACTTCTCTTGTCCATTGGATGTCTCCTCTTCCGGTACTTCCATCATCACACGTGCGCCTTGTTTAAATATCTGAACAATGCGCTGCTTGTTGAACAGATTCGCCGCCGCAAGCGTAGGCCCAGACGTGTAAAAGCCACTGTCGTCCTCTAAAGGCTCCATACCTTCGCCAGTGCGCAGCACCATCGTACGATGAGCAACACTCAGTATCAGATACGCATTATAACTCCGTCCATCCGAGCTTCTGGTTGCTGACGGTAAAGACGACGACACTGTCCACATGGCTCGACAGCCATTCAGCTCTGCTTCGGTGCCTACAATTGGTCGCAGGCCATTGTGCAACACGGAGATGGCGCCGCTACGTTCATATCCTCCGCTGATCACCAGCTCCTCGCGCTTTTCATTCGAGTCTGCGTTGTTCTCAACGCCTAACTCAATCGAGGTGATCTGTCCGATACTGGGTAGCACATCAATCTGTCGCAGCTCGTAGTCGTACGGGCCAGTGTCTTGCTCAGGCGCGCCATTCTCCTCTGTCTTCACACTCGATACACCCACGCCGTTAGTACACTCAGTAGAGCTCGTAGCTGCAGGCTCTTCCTTCGTAGGAGCTGCACCATACAGGAACAAATCATCTTCGTCTTCCTCTTCCTCCTCAGCTGGCTCCGACTTGATCTCCGGGGCAGATTCCTGCTTTATTACCACCTCTTTGATCGGCATTTCCTCGTCTTTTTGCTCTTCCTCCGTGGCAGTGACCAACTTCTTCTTGTCCAGCGCAAAAAGCACAGAATCGCCTGACCGTGAGCCGATAAACAACGTCTGCTTCTCGTCATCGATACACACACAGCTTGCCTGAATACTAGACCGAAGCATTCGTAGCGATAGCGACGCATTGCGACCTGACGATACTCCACCGAAGCCATACAGTCCACGACTCGATGTGTCTTCATAGGGCAGCGACAGCACGTACACTTGTCCACAAGGCATCGTCAACAACAGCTCCTTATCTTGCAGATACTCAAACTGGCAGTCGTACAACACCACATTCAGCTGCGCCGTCTCGTGCTCGGGAGTCTCGTACACGGCGTCGCTGAGAGGGAACACTGACTGGTTCACTGTCTTGCTCGCAAACACATTCGTCGCTAAGCCATGGAACTGCGTCTGGTTAAAGTACAGGATCGCATTGGCCGACAAGACCACGACTCCACCAAGCGGTGCACGACACGGGATCAATCGGAAACAGTCGGACGGGAGGTTCTTGACGGTCCAGATCTTCGGATGAAGTCTCGTCTTCATGTTGATGGAGATGACAGTCAAGTAGTACGTGTCAAAGCCCACAGCTAGCCGTCCACACGTCGAGTTCTTGTCGTTCTCCTCGTGCAACACCATCAACGTGGGCTCTAAGTAGCCGTCCAGGAAGGCCAGATCGATCACTTTGCCCGTTATCTCCACTTCTCGTAGTCGAAGGAGGAATTCTCGCCCGGTTATGTCGTTCGGCATGAGGCCACTCATGTGGTTTCTCTTGCGCTTGGCTCCGACCTTGACGCTCTTGTCCAGTAAAGCGTTCAGCGTGTTGTTCATGTCGCTCGTGACTCCTCTGTGCTTGCTCTCGTTCACTAGCTGCTCAAGTTTCTTCTCTTCCTCGTCGTCGTCTTCTTCTTCCGAGTCTGCAGTTGTTCTCCGTCGTCAAAGTCTTCGTCGTCTTCTTCAAAGAACGATAACTCCATCGATTCGCTTCGAAAGGGTACAATAACCAGCTGATCCGAGTACACGAGCATGGCTCCACAGCGTGTCTGTGGGTCTACGCGGGCGGACGCTTGCGTGGCGAGTCCCAGCAGCTGTTCTCGGCCATTCTTCTCTCCTTTCAGCGTAGCTCCAGGTCCGATAGCGTCCTCCTCGAAGGAGAACATGGCGAGTGTCGCGAGACTTCGTAAGCGTCTGTCGTAGCCCACAATGATCCATTTAAACAACAGGAACGTGAGTAGCAGCACTTCATCGCCCCCCAGGAAGCGATGCTTCTTTCTGAGTAGACTGCGATCGAATTTGAGCACGTGGACGCTCTCCGCCACTCCTGCTATGGGGAAGGAGGCCATAAGGTGAAGGACATGGCCTTTGGAGACTTCTACGACGCTCTTGCTGTGTTACGTGCTATCAACACTTGCCCGAGTTTATTCGTCGCATGCGAACAAATTCTCTCTTATGATTGGTTAAAGGGGAAAGTGGTCGCATGTAAAAGAGATTATAAAAAGGCGTCAATGCGACGAATTCGTCGCGTGTAAAAATATGATCGCATCAGAGCGAATTGGGTCGCACGGGAAATCCTCCAATCAGAAGCATGCAGTCTTCTGGTTTCTACCGTATTCTACATGCTGTGTTACGTGCTATCAGCACTTGCCCTCGTTTAGCTCTACATTTCCCGTGCACCGATGGTGAAATGAATGTTGCCGCTGCTGAATTTCGCACGATTAGTGGAGGAAGGGCAATTACGGGCTGTATTGGAGCCATTGATGGATGGCTGTGTCCGATTCCTGAAACAGGGTACGTAGCCCTAAGTGTACCCTGGTTAAATGAAGTGTATGACACGTCATACCTCGGAATATGTGGTACAAAGTACCAAGGTCGTTCAAAGCCAACATTGGTCAACGACATTGCATTTCTGTAGGTGACTTATAG